GATAATGTTTAATTAGGGAGCAGAGAAGTCAATGCTTTGGCTTTTATGAGACATGGAAATCAAAGAGAATCTATTTGCATACACCTAGTATCGACGTTCGAGTTCCAGTTTATGTTGGCTGTTGTTCTTTGTTCGTGTTGTCGTTTTCCATTTGCATTTACAATGTGGAGGAATAGGGTAATAAAAGTACATCATGGTGTATTTATTGAGGATGCATTGCCCTCTGGTGGGCAGCCATGAAACGGCCTTATTTGTACAGCAGCTACCCAAGTGTGTGTGTGTGTGTGTGTGTGTGTGTGTGCGTGCGTGTGTGTAACAGCTCAAAGCGGTTCATGCATGAGCTCTCTAGTTTACCTTGATGAATTCACATAGAAACATCTGAACGCCACTAAGACCAGCCGGGCAGGCAGAGCGACACGAGCACGGCGGCTCCGTGGAAGCTATTTCCTCGAGGTCCGAGGGTCAACATGCAGGTGGGTGCTGCTGCAGCTGGTGCCTCCAGGGCCCCCGAGGAACCTAATCATACGTTTCAGGGTGAAATGATGAGAATGCGGCAGCTCAAAGGACGATTTGAGAGAACAGAACAGATAAAATATGTAAAGGTTTTTCACTCGATGTGGATCTTCAGTGACACAGCTGGTACGTCCACCTTTTACCCCCTGAATCCCAAAGACCAACAGGACTCTTCAGATCGCTACATGCGTGTGGAGAATGTCGTCCTATGAGTATCTCCCGAAGTGACTATTGCAGAGGGTCGCAAGCACAAACACAGAGGCATGATGGGAAAGGCTGTAATGCTGGTTAGGTCATTAGTACACGTGTGGGGCCCAAAACAATAAAATGGTTAAAAACATTATTGTGTAAAGTGTTTTGCTGGAAAAGGTGCAAAGTTTCTTTTGGGTCAAAGATTTGTTTGCACGTACAGAAAATATTTTGCTTGTGAAAACAACGTCTCTCCCTTTAAAAGTGAACTTGAAGACTCCCAGACGACACCCACTGCAGACAGAAAACACACAGCAGGTGGGGTTATAAAGCGATTTGGGTGCTCCACAAGCCGACACTACAAACTTCTCAGAGTTTACAAAAAGCAAGGCTAACGAGATAAAAGGAGAGCGGGAGCGGCGGCGGAGGCGGGGAGGGCTGGGGAAATCGACGCGGCGTGGGAGGAGGGCCGTGGCGCTGGAGCGCAGAGGTGAAGGGGATGTAAAACAAAAACAAGAAAATGTGATGGAGACGGACGGAGGAGGAGGCTAACGAGAGGCGGGCTGGGATCCGGGCGGAGGGTTCAGCGGAGCCGGGGAGGTTTAGTCAGATATCCACCCGGCTCTTAAATCACCCGTCGTGACGGATGCACAAAGGCCTGGCTTGACGCCGGCGCTGCCGGTCGTCTTCTGAGCTGTTAATCACGGAGACCTGCGAGGGGCCGATCTCTCAACGTCGGCCGTGGAGACGCCTGGCAGCAACACATGAGTCCCACGCTGCGACCGCCGCGCCGCCGCGCGGCTTTCAGGGCCTCTTCGACGCCGCCATCCACCTGCAACCGCCCCGCGGCAAATACCGGGCTCTCCCCTCAGCAGGCGCCCGCGTTATCTGTGCACGTGTGTGTGTGTGAGAGGGAGGGATGGAGGGAGGAGACGAAGCCATGGGTGGGGTGTGTGTCTGTTATCTTTCTGTCTGTGTGGACACGCGCTGGGTGAACTCTGCAGGGATGAGACGGGTGAGGTGCCGTTGAAATATGACACCTCTCACTTGTTCCCGAAGCCTTCCCTCAGAGCGAGCCTTAGAGAAAATAGATCAGATGCACTTTCTCTCTGACACACACACACACACACCTACACGCGCACACTGTGTTACGACGTAGTTAGGCCGCCTGTCAGTTGTGAAGGAGTCCTATCAGGGTTCACTGCAAACAAATGGCCGCCTCAGCCTGACAGTCGGCTAGCGGAGGGACGCCGAAGCTGGAAACAAGCGCCGGCTCTGACTCACAGCTGGAATACGGACCCGGAGAGAAACAGCTGCATCGATCAGACGGGGGAGGGGAGGTATTAAGAGAGACAGGCCGATTTGGGAGTTGACAGAGCGGGGCTTCTACTTCAGCGCCGCGTCTACGATGTGTAGCCTTTTAACAGAGAGGGGTGAACTGCGCACTTATTTTGTTTCAGACGAGCCTTTCTCGTAGAAGGGGGTTGTTGCATTTTTCATGACGAAGGGGGAGATGCGGAATGGTTTAGAGACAAGACAAAGAGGCGCTTTGTGAGGGGAGTGCAAAGGCACAGCAGGCGCCTCAGGCAAACGCTAACGTCAGCATGCTAACACGCGCACAGCCAGGATGCTAACGTGCTGATGGTGGGCCTGCGACGTGCATCATTAGAGCTCGGTGTGTTCATTTAGACACGGCGCAGCTGCAAGGCCAGTGATTTGTCGGAATGTTGATGTGTTCTGAACGGGACACGAACATCTGTCCTACATAGTTAAAAGGCACGATTCACTAAAAAAAACAAATGTGAAGGTGCATCCCGGAGACGATTTCACTGTGTACCAACAGTTCTACTAAAGGTTGGTCGAGTTGTTCTATACGAAGGCCAACAGGACGGGTTTTCCGCACTCATACCGAGACAATGGACTGTGGAATATCACTGTTTATCTATTAAAAGCCATTTTTCCCGTCTCATCGACCGCAGTAAAACTAAAAAAGCATCAACGTGATTCAAGGAGAGGATGATCGGTTTAAAACACAAGTTAACGAGGAGTCTGGGAAATCATTTGATACCAACTTTCGCCTCAGAGCATATTCTTGGTCGGTACTAAAAATGGTAACGAGGTCCATAACCCAGCCGTACCCGAGGGCACCGATTCTAGCTGAGAATTGACAAATTAAAACGTGCCTCAGCTCTTGTCCAATTCCTGCCTTGATCTGGGTCTTTCATTGTGCCGCAGTGAAGCTCAGGCTGGATGTGGCTCTGTGCTGAGATTATCAGGAAAATATGTCATTGTGAGCCAACATGGACGGGGGGACTCAGTCCCATGGACGAAAAATAACTGGGTTGGGGACATCCATATGTGTTCTAAATACACACATACGCACACACAGACGCTATAAATGCATACATTCAACCAGTTAACACATGCGTGCTCCCAGGAAAGCATACCAAACATGCATGCATTGCACGGCCAAATTGCACAAGCATGCTCCACCCCCCCTACACACACACACACACACACCTTCACAGACAGCCTGGCGCTCAATAAACATGATACACATTCGTGTGCGTGGGCCCGGCTTGTAGCGTCTGGCTCACAGCATGGCGGTAAACAGCGTGCAGCCGAGGCGATGTGGGGACGCGTGCAGGCGGGTTGATTAAAGAGCAATCGCTGCCCCCGCGGTGAGAGAAAGGCTGGCGTAATCACCTTAAGACAACACGGTTTGGGAGCATAAGCCTCTACACCTCAAATTCTGAAAGTTTTTAAGAGGGGTGGTAAAAAGTTGTGGGATGCCTGCAGTTGGCAAAGAGGCCAATAATGGTGCAAGTGGATTCCCACTGAGTGGAAGGCAAAAGGGGGGG